TGACGACCAGCTGCAGTGTCAGCAGCCCATTCGACAGCATAAGACGGACCAGCAGAAATACCGTAAGTGCACAAACTAGAGGCAGCAACAAGCGCAACGACAGCCTTTGCTACTGCTCTGGCTCTAGGCTTGCTCTTGGCTCCATCCTTGGATTTAGCTTTAGGCTTAGGCGCAGCAGCTTTGTGACTGAACTTACAATGCAACCCGAAGGCATTTGGAAGAAAATGCAAGGAGTCTTGGCTTTCTCTGCATCAGTCACGGCTATTGCCATAGCCTTGGCCTTTCTTTTGCATTTGCATTGGGCGCTGGGGCACCAGGAGCGATTGGAGGAGGAGGAGGAGGAGGAGGAGGAGGAGGAGGAGGATCAGCCTTAGAAGGAGCACCCTTAGGAGTTGCAGCAGGAGGCGTAGCCTTCGTCTTCCCATTCCCTCCATCTACAGCAGGAATAGCTTTCGTTTTCGGAGCAGGTGTGGCCGACTGCAAGGACTTCAACACAGACTGCGCATTAGAATCTTCACGATCCTGAACGATCAGATCCTGAATCTTGTCCCAAAGATAAGACCACTCACGCCTATACGAGGTTGCCCCGGACTCCCTGATGTCCTCAATAACGCGCTCAAGCTTGCGAATGTGTTTCACCCGATGGAAGAGCCATTCTCTGGTGAGGCGATCATCAGGCCGCTGCCCGACCGGAATTGCACTGAGAACAAGACGAATGCGATTCACAAAGTCTCTCAGATCTTTTACGGAACTTCCACCAAGTTCGATCTAGAACAAAGTAGACGCAGTCAGAACCGAACCCCTTACCCGATCTAAGTCGTAATGCCTCGCGATGATTGAGAGCATCACTCGACCCTTGGGCGATTGTCCTAGCTGACCACATCTTTCGATGTACGCTGTAATGTCTTGCTCAAGTTCAGAGGACTGCTTCACCACACGTCCTGAGGACAGTTCACCGGCTATCCATGCGTCTAACCGAGAAAGCAGTTCTGAATCTTGTAAGTCGGCCCTCTCAGCATCGAAACCCCTAGAAATCCACGTTAGTACGAGGCCATGACCAGAAGTATCAAGCTTGGACAACTGAACCTTGAACCCATTCTTCCATGTTCGTAAACTTGCAGCGTCTGAGGGAACAGGCTCAAGCTTGAGATGCAGGAGAGCTCTTTGATCAACAACATCCTTTTCTCGAAGCTCTTTCACAGCTTTTCTTCTTCCTCAACTTCACCATCATCATTAGTCTCAACAGTACCCGTAGCATTTTGACCGACCTGTTGGACAAGCTGCTGAACTACCTCAATCAGCTGATCCACGCGAGGGTCTGATACAGGCGAAGTTGGCTGGGAAGGAATAGGACATGAAGACACTGGAGGAGGGACGCTCAGTTGGAGGGTCGGAAGCTTCGAGGTGAGTCCAAGACGCTTCACTAACACCAGACTCGGTACCAACAGGAGGAGCAGTCGATCTCGGAGGTTTGGGAGGAGATCCAGAGTTCGAGGCGCATGGAGCAGCAGAACGACACCTCTGAATCTCACGCTCCTTGATTTGACACTCTAGCCGGGTTTGGTTGAGCTGAAAAGTCAACGAATTGTTGCTCGATTGACAATCCTGAAGAGCAGCATTGAGCTCCTGATAACTCATCCGTTGCGCAGTTAGCTCAGCCTCCAACCTACTCAAATCAGGCTTTGCCTCCGTCAGCTGACGTTCAACGAATTGACCGTACTCAAAAATTCCCCACACCGAACTTCCGAAAGCCTAAGTTGCTCACGGAGCTGAGCAACTGCAGATCCTGCTTCACGTAGAACGTCCCTGACTTGGCCTTGCGCCTCATTCAATTCATGGAACTGGGCGGCGACTCGATTGGCAGCTTCGCCGGCAGCAAATTGCTGAGCGGCAAGTGCTTGATGAGGTGGTGCTCCTATGTTCAGCATCTGATTGTGAACAACAGTAGGAACATTGGGACCATCATTGGGAGCGTTGCTGGCTGGGTAAGGAGCCGAGGGTTTCCGAGGAGTTCGGGCTAAGGCTCTCCTATTGGCAGGAGGTGATCGTTCTCTTTCCACCAAAGCCGAACTACTATCCGTTCCCCCTGAAGCACAGGAAGAACCCCTCATACCTGGGACCGCAGCTGCTGAAGCACTGGAGATGTCGAGCAATGAGCTCGGATCAGTTGGGGATGACTGAGATTGTCACATGATTGACGGGCCCTTTTGCAGCGAGGCCGCAAGAGGGAGATGCAGAGCCAGTCAGTAGCGCTGAAAGCACTGAACAGACTGAGAACAGTTGTGGAAGGCCAGCGGGGCAAGGCGCCGATCAGACCCACGCAGGAAATAAACCCTTAATGGAATCTAACCTATCAACAACACACGACCAACACAACTGTGCTTTGAAAAGATGCCGCGGTAGCAAGAGGCGCTAAAAGCAGCCAATCACGCTACAGAAGAAAACAGAAAATCTGCCCTCAGCCGATGCAGTGGGGAACGAAGTTGGCAACCGTCTCCTCCGTATCACACGGGCAGGAGAAAGACGGGATTGGACCCTGAGGATACTCAATGCGGCCGCGACGAGGAATTGCAAGATGGATCGGAGTCACGTTGCGAGCCCCTGACAACTCTGTAACAACTTCCACAGAATCGTCAAGATGAATGACCGGGATCTCCCCTCCTCTTGTCAACAACTCCAAAACGGCACGCTTGCCGCGAGGACCGGTCGGCTTATCAGAAAGGATAACCAAGTCGGTTGGCGTGAACCCTGTCTGAGCCACCGATTGTGAGCACGCAGCAGAGACACAATTGAGAACGTGGAGACGAGTGTCGTAAGCGTGGCAATAGCTCAACACCACACTCAAAACCTGTCCACTCCGAATCTCCTTGTGCAACCTCTGCAAAAGCTGGACGTTGCGCCAAGGTAAGCCAGGGTCGGTCCACTGAGAGCAGATTTATTGTCACGGTCCAATACACGATGGAAATCCCAAGATACAATGGCCTGACAGTTCTGCAAATGATCCGTCGTCACCTTGATCACTTGTCCCTCGTGGTCGCAAGCCAACGCCTTGAGCTGCTTAAAGTTGATAGCTTCCTCAGCCCGAGGTGGTGGCGCCGCTGGCTCTCTCGGCTTCAATGGCCTCGCCTTTTGAGCAACTGGGGCACTTCGGAACCAGGGCACGAGGCGGAGGTCCTTCCGGAGGTAGATTCCACCTGTGATATCCTGGTACTCCTGCTGCCTTCGGAACCAAAATGGGTCCAGCCCCAAGATCCTCCTGTGCCTCCTCTGTTTCCTCAATGGGTACAGCCCTAGAAGCCTCCTCAATGGGTGCAGCCCCAGACGCCTCCTCAATGGGTACGGCCCCAGACGCCTCCGAATCCTCTTCTACGGGTGCAGCCCCGGCAACAGCCTCTTGAGTCTCTTGAGCGTAAACACCAGTAGCTTCAGAACGATACTTCGGAGTAGGAGCCAACCTTGAAGACGACGAAGAAGCACCTGTATCCTCTTCCTCAGAAGAAACCTCAATAGCCGCTTCCTCACCGTGAGACCACGGTTTCACCGTTGGCAAGCGTAGCTTAACCCTATACGTGCCGTCCGGCCTCTTAAAAGGAACAGAATCAGGATCTTCAAAACGCCCTGATCCCTCTTCCTGGGAAAAGACCCACCTCTGCCAGGCTTGCCTCTTCCGCCTCGCGGATTTGCCCGCTCGACTTCCCCTGGTCGCAGCAGGACGATCCTCAGCCTTAGGTCTCGGAATCACCTCGGGAGACCTTGGCGGGTTATTGTCCATCGACTGATCTACGACCCTGAAGAGAAGAACCACAAAGCACTACGGATGATAACCAATTATTCCGACCCCAAACGAAGACACCGCTAAGTTAGGGTAAGGAACGAAGGAGAAGGGAAGGGAAACCAACAAGGGAGCCCCAACCCTGAACGCAGCACAGACCTCAGGTACGTGCTTTTTCATGCTTGAGCCAAAGTCGATTGGCGTCTTTAACATCACAGATGTTACACAGTCAGGCAACATTAAATTACATGGAGGTTGTTCGTAATCTTCAACTCGTGATATTAAGATACTGTGTACCGGGTTTGCTAACCCATTATTTCCCCTCTGATGGCTTCATTAACCGGTACTCAACTCGAGTATTTACTTACTCTTCAAGCTATGGCAAGGGCATTGCATGATTTAGGCGCTTTCGAATACTTGGCGCGTATTTGGGTTCTTTGCTTTTTGCGCTACCAAACCCTCAATGAAATAAACGATAGCCAACATCAACGAACGCATTAGCGCTCAGCCGCCTGCGCGATAAATGATCATCTGTCCTTCTTGTGCTGCCGCACCGATTAGCTATTCCAACAGTAACAACTATTAATTGATGAGCTTTGAGTGTTCTTGGGTCCTTTGTGCATACTGCCTATTGTGTGGCCCGAGCAGCATGTAGGGATGAGGCGGAAGACAACAGGAAATATGCTCTAAGAGGACCAAAAAGACACTTGCAGCAAATGCTGCTTACCTCTGAGTCGGTGAAACTGCAGTGACCAGACCAGATAATTACCAGTGACTAGATGAGCCATGGGTGAGGCGAACAGTACAGGAGAACGTATTTGGTGGCTGAGGCCAGTGCACGAAGTTCGGCGAACACACACCGGTGGTATAACACACCACGCAAGCAGGCACATCCCGGTGGGATGTAGCATCTTTATATACATATATGCATATACATAGGTGTGTTTCTTATATTTATATGTTTTGCCTTTTTCATGTGCTCTTCAAGTAGTTGCTTATTCATGTTGACGGTAGCATTGCTTCTATTCAGTTATATGACACGCATGTAGAATATTGCGCAAACATGAATGCATCCACACATATGTGGACAAATACATGTGTATACTCGCGAAGTCGCTCCTCCACAACGGCCTGCTTTGCAGGAAATGCACTGCGGCTCCAAGAAGCATCTTTGGCTCCTGTCGCTGTTCTTCTCACTAACGGCCCACAGGCCCGCGGAGGAGACCGCTTAGGTCACCTGCTCCTGGACTTCGGCACGCTCAGAGGCCTCTTGGGTCAGCTTCTCCCAGTTGGAACGGAAGAAGAAAAAGAAAAGGCAAAGGGTGGCCTCGATAACAGTTGAGTTCAGCCTGTACTTTGCCTCTCTCGCTAGACGGTCTCAGGGAGCCATTAACCGGAGAGGGACAGGCCTCCTCTCTGCTTCCACACATCCCAAAGCCTCCTTTCTCTCTCTCCCTCTCTCTCTCTCTCTCTCTCTCTCTGCTTTGGGGCAGTCCGACCTTTCTCTCTCGCTCCCTCTGGTTCTTGGGCTTAGCAGCCGAGAAGGGAGCCCTCAGCCTCCGTGCTCTCTCTGCCTCACAGACAACCATCGCTTTCTCTCGAACAAAGAACACCCGTCGACTTTCATCACAAAGAGGCGAGGGCGTAGCCGATCATCAGGCCCTCGCAAATGCCTGTGACACCTGGCGGGGAGGCATCGTACACTGATTAATAGACTAGGGGCGCCGCCTAAAGAGTAATCGGTACAATTCAGAAGGACGAGCTGATTCAAACAAGAACGTCGACATTGTTGTCGATGCCATCGCGTCGGTGCCGTCGTTGCCGTCGGCATCGCAATCGGAGACCAAGAATGATACGCATAAAGATTCAACACCACTAGTCACCCAAAACATGCCGAACGTTGATAACAGAATGGCATCGCCAGCTACATTCGAGGAGCTCGAACACGCCACCCACATTACTGCGATGCGAACACGAGTGGTGCATACTGGCACATGGTTATGCTGCTGCCGATGATGACGACAATGATCCTGCTGCTTCTGCTACTGCTGACGAGGATGATGATGATCACGGTGATGTGTTGCGAGCCTTCCGATCGGCTGAGGAAGTAGCTGCAGGGAAAGCCGAGAATCCAGCAGCAAACCTGAGCAGACGCACTGAGGAAAACCTGCTGACAAATTATTGTTCAAATCCTGCCGGGAAAGCACGAAGGCACATGTAAGGCATCACAAAGCGATGGGTTTGCCTTTTTTGTGCCCGATGCTACACCCAAACTCTTTTGGAGGGCGAAATCCACAGAGTAAAATTCTGCAAAGTTTCTAAACATCCATCTGCTTCCACAGGAACTCACAACAATAGCGCATCCCAGGCACAGGGAGAATGGCAGATGGGACCTTCGCACGTCCTGCTGCAGACAGGCTTCACCAGCAACCGCGACATCAAGACTTGTGAGTATCTAGCCATGCGCATTGCCGAAAGAATTTTCCAAGAGTTCTCGTGCTGTCGCAGGCGTCAGGGTACTGCTTGAGTTCAAGTGTCCCTCTGAAGGACTGAGAGAAGAGTACTACCAGAGCCCTCCAAAGCTGTTATCACGGCCTTATTAAGCCCGTCTTAGGCAAGCCCAGAACCCACTAAACTACGAAATCGAGCCCGTCGTTTAAAACGAAGGGCTCGATTTCTTAGTTTTTTTCTAATGGCAAAGCTTAATTTAAGCCCTTACAAAGCCTCTAGAGCCCTCCAAAGCTGTCTCATTAAGCCCTTATTAGGAAAGCCCAGAACCCACTAACATAAGAAATCGAACCCCTCGTTAATTTAAGAAAACGAGCCCCTAAATTTCTTGTTTTGGTGGGCTTTTTCTATATGGCAAAGCTTAAATTTAAGCCCGAATTAAGCCCTTACCCAGCCACTAGAGCCCTCCAAAGCTGTTCTTAAGGCCTTCGTAAGCCCTTGTTAGGCAAGCCCAGAACCCACCAAAAGAAGAACTTGAGGGGCTCGTTTTCTTATTTTGGGGGGTTCTGGTAAGGGCTGATTACACGCATTCCACCTGCTCCTCAAAATGCGGTTCACTGCAGGCAAAACGCTTTGGAAGGCCTGGAAATTTCCTCTCCCGACCGGCCACACATGCGTGGGTCACCGGTATAATTGACCTTCACACTCAGGCTTTGTTGGCGATCATGCATTATTCTGCCAAGTTTTAGCTCAAGGCATCATGCACAAGTTGACATCGTATCTTATACTTCAGACACTACACTAGCCTGGACTCTGCCAGCAAGTGAGCCAAACACGTTTTTCTCGGATCGAGAAGCACACATAGTTTTGGTAGCATTTCCGTGGTTCACAACGAACGTCGATAAGTCCTGTCCTTGTTTATTGAGAACAGCGATAAGGGGCAGCGCGACCCCGAGCAAGGCAATCGTTGTGGCACCTGCAGTCACATCAGGGTCCCCTTACACGAAACAAAGATGTTCAGTGAGTTAGATCGGGCCATGGCGCCTGCCCAGCGAAGCTTCCTGAGCGAGCACGTCATGGAGGTTCACGCATGGATCAGAGCGAGGACGATCACTGCCGAGACTTTGCTACCAGTTCTGACGTGCTGCATCATCAACTGCTGCACCTGAAGATCTGGCGATGCCACCTTTACAATGGCGCTCCCGGCCTTTGTCCGTCAGCACTTCAGCACTGCAGCCTTCACTCTTTACCATAGATCAACTACGAGGCAACGTGCGCAACAAAGACATCGACGGCCTTAACGAACCCGAAACTCTCTGAACTTGAACGCCAGCAGCACAGAGAAACAGCATCGCAATCACCACGTTGCCTGCGAGGGAAGCCTCAGCTCCATCCTGCTGAAGGGCTAAACCAAAAAAGAAAACAAAGTCCCCCGACGGCAATTGTGAGGCTGTAGCTGGGGGACTTGATCCGAAACTCGGTCCCCATCCCCTTGTCTCGATGCTCGAACTCTCGACAACGAAATGCGATCCTATTCCGCCTGTCAATCTCGGAATGGAACCTGGTAACATGTCGAGACAAGCCGCGAGCAAACCAATGCGAGCTACAAAGGCTGCCTCCTTCGGCTTGCCTCGATGGCTCGAACGTTCTCTCTTGATTTCAATGGTTCGTGGGCTTGTCGTGGGCGTGCCTTCTCCTAGGCGTCTGGACATGCGGATCCCAACGGCGTCACCCATGGCCACCGAGTACAGGAAGCCGACGATGAGCAAGTTCATGACCTCTGAAACCAGGAGTAGACCTGAAAACCGGACATGAATCCTTCCTCCCTCCTCCTCTGCCTCTGCTGTCCCAAAAGTTCAAGTCCGAGGACCAAAGCGAAGGCCGCGGTCTCTGCCGGCCCGAGCTCTCCTGCCATCAGCGTGCAGACCTGCAAAAGAACATATCGTATTCCGACGGAACCAGCGGGGTTTGCGGCTTCGCGCTAGGGTCTGATGCAAGGTCTAGTCACATGTCTACAGCAGAAGTCTACACAACAAGTCTCTATGACTGACTGGTTTAGCATCTTTCCTGGCACCTGCATCTGCAGCTCTTCGGCGACACCGCCAAGGGCTGCTGGCAGCGTCATTGACAATAACCTTTTGCACTCACTACTCGCTTCTCATTGACATCCCAGTTGTGCTCCCAACACGGAGAAAGGCTTGCGATCTTGAGCTCCAAGCTTCGCGGAGAGGTAGTAGTAATCTATCTCAGGAAAACCCTTCTTCCATGCTTCAGATCGCCTGCTACATGCCGCAGCTTGCAGCCAAGCAGCCTCCGCCAGCGGCTTGCTTGGCAAACCTCCGAACAGGACCAGCCAGGCCAGGTGGTTTTGTGATAACCACGATGCCAACAGAAGGCCACAAAGGTCACCGTGCCTAAGTCCCAGGTTAAGCCGTTAAGCATAGCGGCTCATAGCGGGAAGTTTGAGCTTTGTGGTTGAGAAACGCCACGGCACGGAGGAGTTTGCAGATCGTGAAGGCCAGGGCAGCTCCAATGATTCCCATCTTCGTTTGGAAGATCATGACATAGCCAAGTCCAAAGTTCACCACTGTGAAAACAGCGTCCACGATAGCCGCTGGTAATGTTATTTGCTGTGCGGCGTAGTACTCCTTGATGGAATAGTACCACACATCCAGCAGGAAGCCCACCTCACCACGTGGGAAACACGAGGCATGGATCTACAAACAGGTCTCAAAGCTGGAAAGCTGGGACCTGCGACCACACGGCGTAGACGCCTGCAAGGTGCGCCACGTCCCTGTGGAGCCCGAAGGCTTTCAGGACGGGCTCAGTGAAAAAGCGAAGCAGCATGAAGGGCCTTGGGCAGCCCCGGAGGTCAGGGCCCAACTTCAGAAGGAGAGAAGAGCTGAAGTGTAGCTGAATGGCACGCCGGCGACTGTGGTAAAAACGAGGTAGATCTGTAGCCAGATGCCCACCAGAGGCAAATTCCCGGCCCCGTAAGCTTGACTGCAGAACATCGACAGCTGCCCGATCCTGGGCCACAAAGAAAACACTCCGAAGTGATCACAGTGTTTATTCGACCCTGCTCCAACCTTGTAGCCAAGGAACCCAGACAAGAAAAAGACATCCGTAAGAGACGTCCAGATGGTACTCACTGATGTTGCAGCCAAGGCCAGCGTGTCTAAATGCCCAAGCATTATGCTTGTCAGCAGATTGTTGATGGTGCCGCTGGCCGCCGACAGGGCCAAAGGCAACCCGAGTTTGGCAATCGCACGCAGCTCCCGAAGCGCTTCTTTGCTCCACGCCTCATCCACAAAACGATAGCACGAGGATACAACAAACTTGTCGACTGCTGTGAGGGCTCATCGGTTTACAACAAGACAACCCAACTTCGCCTCATGAAAATCATGCAGCTTTGGGCTTTGGGCCTTGTCCTCACGCAGGAAGCGCTGGTCCAAGTCATGACACACCTCCACGCTCGCAAGCGGCGTCTCCACCATCGGCTGCGCAGCCTAGCTCCTTGAACACCCGATCGTTCCTTCTATGGAAACAATTCCAAATAGGGCAGAAAATGCGGGCAACATCAACTTTTTGCAGCTTGTTGGGCCAAAAAACGCAGAAGCATCCGGAGATTTCATGCTCAGGAACAGGAGTAGAATCTTCTAATGACCTTGGCCTGCTATGGTCCAAGTCCAAGCCTTGTGGGCGTGAGCTCATCAACACAGAGTGCGCGCACCAGGCAAGGAGTCGGCCACTCCTTCGGAGCAAATTCAGCTCGAAGACAACGCGCGGCGTCGCGCGTCGGGGCTTACAATATCTTGCCCATACATGATGATGACGACAATGATGATGATTCTGATGTTGGCGAGGATACTAGTAACTAGGGAGAATGTGGGTGAAACCGATGGTGAGGAGGAGGAGGAGGATGAGCATCAGATGATAGTGACGACGTCCATGACGCTGATGCTGATAAGGATGAAACGGATGATGAGGACGAGGAGAGGAGAAGGACGAGCACGATCACTAGGTTACGAGAACGAGAGGTACTTGAAAGATCGTTTGGAATAGTGCTGGGGATGGCGATGCCATTGGCAAGATCCTTTAAATTTAAGTGAAATTCATGTGATCAGCAACCGCGACGCAACGATCAGCTGCGGCAGCAGCAGTGTTATCATAACCATCTGGTCGTCGTAGTCGACATCATTATCATGATCGTGAAACGTCATCAGCAGCAGCATCATGATAATCACCATCGTCACCATCGTTGTCGTCACCATCACTGGCATTGCCAGATTGGCATTCCCATGTCCGTAGTTACACTATCAGCACCATTGCACTGAAAATGTTACTGATAACGTGGTGCTCTAGGCTGCATCTCATGTTGCGAAGACCCGATCATCCTAACCAAGCAGCACTGTAACGTCGCATCTGCCTCAGGGGCACATGACTACGACGGCCTGCAGCGCGAAACGCTGGAGTGCATACAGCCGTCGGTTGTCCAAGGTAACGAGGACGCCCTGGGAGCGCAGGGCCCGCAAAAAAATGAAGGTCATGAAGCAGGCTTCTGTGCTGAGCATTGTCACAATGGCAACCTAGAGACGAACGTAAGACTTAAGACACAAACATGCGCGGTCACCCAGTAGCGTGCCGAAGCATGCGCCAAACAACAACTACATTGCAGCTTGTTCTCATATCAATGCGGAAATGACTGACTTGCAAACGTCTTGCTTAATACATTCCTGTAGGATATTTGTTCGATTAGATCAGGTGGAAAGCCACAAAACTCACAAAACTGAATGCAAGGAAGAACCTCTTGTGGGAGGAAAACCCTGCACCCAGAAACAGAAATTGTACTGTTCGGGAGATCCAACCTGCTCCTTGAGGTGCAGGAGCCGGACAGGAGGGAACGGCGGCTCGATACGCCTCGAAGCTTGTGAAAGTGATCCGGATGCACCAGAACCGAAAGGAGTCTTGTGTTCGGGGCACAAGGGTTCGTCCAATTTATGAACAAGCGCTCGAAAGCTGCTGAACCATCAAACAACAAGTCCTGGGCCCCGGCTTACTTCTCTTTCCCTCCTCGCTCTTTAGCTTGATCTGAAGCATGACCTGGCTTGGCACTCCGGTGACATGCCATGGCATGAGCCGGCTGCGCAAATGTTTTTCGAAGAACATGATAAACACCAATGGCTGTAGTTTTAATGTCTGTGTGTCCGTCCCGTGTGTGTGTGTGAGAGAGAAAGAACCCCTGTTGCCAAGGGACATGGCAACAACAGAAAACGCAGGAGGGCTGAACATGTGCAGTGGTCGCCAGCCCGCACATGCACATGCTGATATTCCCGGGAGACGTCCTGAGAACGTACCTGTTCTTTTTGCGTTTCTTTTGTATGTCAGCCCTAGAACCTGGATGAAGTCGTTGTTTAACTGCCTAGTGGCTACAAACTTCTACCTGTGTCAATAACAGTTGAAATTGAAGTCAATCAGAACGAGGACTGCATAAGTGTGCATCTATACGGTTGTTGGTTCAAAGTGTCGTCTGCTGTAGGAGTGCCTACTGCATTGAACCCTCATCGGTTCGAACCCTGTGCACTTCCGTCAGATTGAGCCCTGATCGGCTACCAGTTGATGAACCCTGATCGGTTCAACTGCCACGATCCTGATTGAGCCAGCGGCAAAACCTACGAAACCACCCTTCCAACCTTTATATGGGGTTATCGCTTTTGGGCAGGCGCCTTATCGTTCTGCAGGATTTCCAGCTATCTATCTACAAGCTCTCTGTTTGACATATTGGGCCTGAAGCAAATGCAAAGGGTCTGTAAGGTGGTGTTTGACTCCTGTGTGACCGGCTCAAGAAGGCTCAGGTCTTGGGCTTGAGTATGGATCAATATGATATCAATATGGTTTGTTCTGCCGATGGTTTCCTTCACGGAAGTGTTGACTCCACCCTTGCGGAACTTCTGCGCGGCATGATTCTAGCAGCAGCAGTAGCAGTATAGCAGCAGCAGGAAGTGGCAGTGGCAGTGGGAGTAGCCGAGTAGCAGTAGCAGCAGCAGCAGGAGGAGCAGGAGCAGGAGCAGGAGCAGGAGCAGGAGCAGCAGCTGCAGCAGCAGGGCTTAGGAGTTGGAGAACGGTTCAACCGAGAGGAAGGAAGGCGCTCAAAATTCTCAAGCGGATGGCGGGCCGCGGGCCCTTTTATCAAATGTCCAGATCGGAAGCATCCATGTCGGGCTGCGTTCGGCCCTCCTTTTCAGCCTGCCTCTTGCGGCGGCTGTTCGCCAGGGCCCGCAGGAGACGCTGCTCGTCCCGGGCAGCCATTTCGTCAAACTGAAGAGTACGCTTGCTCGGCGGGACAATCTCGGAGCCACATGCCGCGAGCTGCGCGCGATACTTCTTCAGTATTTCGTTGGTCTCGCCTGGCTCGATCGCAGGTCTTCGCCACGTAGGGTCCTGCCAATACCCCTTCTTCCAAGTGGCCTCTGGCACTGGCTTATCGCACACAGAAAACGGGGCATGATCGCGAATGCTGCTGTGGCTGAAGACGCAGTTCGAAATGCGCACCGGGAACCGCGCGTTCCCTGTTGGCTTGCCCTCCCAAGAGTATGTGCGAGTGACCATGTCCGAATCCGCATCCATCTGCAAGTAGTGGCTCATGCGGGGCTTGTCAGGGCTAAAGGTCTTGATGATAAATTTGGTTCCATCGGGATTTTGTTGCTGTTCTCGGCGCGCGTACTTGCGAAGCACGGCGGCCACCTGCTCTTCGTCATCTGCGAACGAATCTGGGTGCTGCAGGAAGTCGTCCAACCATCTCCTAATGGGACTGAAGACCTCGGAATCACAAAACACCTTGCCATGTTTCTCGACGAGGTAGTTCAGGCGAGTTAATTGGCCCATTTTCGGATATTTATAAAGAAAATGGTACATGTTCTCGTAAGATCGGAAATGGTTTCCGGCGTCGAAACCCAAGATGAGTTCTTCGAGATGGCCAATGTTCTTGATGTGTGTGAGAGCTTCGTGTACGCAGAGGCTGCCGAAGAGAGCGCTGAGTTCCAAGATCTCGCTCAAGAGGATGATGGCTGTTGTGGTTCGGCGCCCCTGGGCGTCAGCTTCGACTGCATACATTGCGAAAACCGATAAAGTTTTCCTTTGAGCACCGTGGAATTGGCCGGATGTCTCTGACCCCGACAATGGAATTGGCAACTTCTCCATATAATCACAGTGGCAGTAAGCCCGGTTGGGACCGAGGTTTGCCGCAGTCAGCCGCATGTTGGACTGTTCCAGCTGCGCAGCGGCTAGGTGCCAGTTGTAGGAATCGACAATTTCTTTGTGTAGAGCTGCTTCTCGTCGCAATGCCCCCTCCACGTGTGGGATGCGTTCGCTTTCTGGCGCTGCCTGCCGCACTGCCCTAAACCTTCTTTCGTGCACGGAATTCACGACTTCGCCCAGCAGCCGTGTGCAGAGAGACAAGTCTGCACTCTGTGCAAAAATGCCCCGGTAGCGAGGCTTCTTGAGGACAGGCTCCCAGTAGCCGGGACAAACTTCCTCTAAGTCTCTCTTGGCACGCATGAGGAACTCCTTTGTGCGAGGAACGATTTTCTTGCGGAAGCATTCGCAATGATCGCACAAATCAGTTTTTCGCTTCCCTGGCTTGTACTCTGGCCAATACGTCTTCATGATTTCTCGGAACTGCCGGAAGAAAAGTTTCCCTTGCAGGTTGGGGCTGTGCCTGCATGATGTTCTCAAACACAGTTTGCGGGGCGTGCGCGCGCATGCGTGCGTGCACAGCAGGGCTTATTATTATAAGGTTTCAGGCTAGGTGGGCGCTTGTGCGTGCGTCTACGTTGTGCGTTTGCGCGCGCTTGGTTGCGTGCGTGCATGTGTGTCGGCTCTGTGTGCGCTTTTCAATAGACTCCGTGCCTAAGGATGGTGGTCGGCTTCGTCACCAAACTCCTCACCTGTCGACGAGTTTTCTTGTCGGGGCCCAAGCATGTCCAGCTGCTTGCGGTCGAAACTGTGTCAAGGGCCGTCTTCACCTCCTTGATCCAAAAGGGGTTGTGAACTTTGGACGGCCTGCCTCCTTTGCGAAAATGCCATCTTTGCAGCGAGCGCTTCAAAGCTCTCCCGGCCGCACCAACTGTTGCCATGTACCCAAGCTGCTGCATACGTCTCTTGCCAAAGCCGGCCACGCGCACACAACGGTCCAAAGCACGACAAACAGGCTCGTTGTTGTGGCGCCAGCTCTTGCGCATGCTCCCCAGTGCTTCTAGAAGAGGCCGACACTTGCAGTCAGTCTGCGCTGTCTGTACTTGCTGAGCTACACCCGGGAATGCCAAGTCCAAACGCTTCAGTAAGTCTCGAGCGACTGCCTCAGCATCCTCCTTCGTGACACAAAGAGTCAATGCCTGGTCCGCCAAAGCTTTTAGCTTCTGGCCTCTGGCGTCGTTTTTCCTTTGAGATGGAGCAAATGCCTGTACCTTTGGGCTTCCGCTCCTTCCTGGTGCTCTGTTCTTCCTGGCCTACAGCACTGGCTGCCATCTTTTTGGCGGCTGCCAAAGCTTTCAAATCTAATGCCTCCACAATTGGCACTCCACTCTTTGCTTTCGCACTTGCTGCCGACTTGGCTTTGCCAGTGTCTGTCCTGCGAGAAGAGGAGCTGCTCGCTGCAGCTTCCGCGGTCGATCTTCGGACATGTCCAAGCTGGTCTGCACTTGCCCCTGTCGCTGCCGAGGAGTCCACGGCCACGTTCGCTGCAGCCGTCTCACCCACGACACTGCGCAACGCCTCGCTCAGATAGCTTAAGCCAGGCCGGCCGTCTCCTTGTAGAAGCACTTTGTCTTCGTCTCGAACCTTTGCTTCGTGAACCCATGTGACAACAACTCAGAACAGAAAACCTGTGCCAAAGTCGCATGCCCTCAACCGCTAGACAAACCGCAGACGCCAAGCAGCATGGCGCCAGAGCTTCCTCTTTACCAGGCTCCTCGCCCATTGTCGCTGCTCTCGCGTGAACTGACCACCCTTGCTGGGCGTCCCCGGCTTCTCTCTGTTTGCAGCCCTCACGAGGATGTCTTGCAGCGTCTCATCCTCGAGGACACGGTGGTAAAACCTCTCTGGCCCCTCTTTGCTGGCCATTGCTTGGAGCTACACAAAAGAAGCTAAAGTGGGCATGTGGTGGTTATGACTGCAAAACTGTCCTGGCGGGTTATCGATTCGTTATCGATTTCGACACAATGTGAACACCCTGTCAAACATGGAAATTTACTGCTTCATCGTCTTCCATGCTTCGGCTCTCAGCCTTACATGTTCGCGCACACCACGCCGTTCAGGCAACAGACTTACAGCAGCCGCAGCAACGACGACGACGACGAACGAACAGCAGCACATAGCAGCACCACCATACGACGACGACGACAACCCACGACCGACACAACAGCCAACACCACAGCAACACAGGCAACAACCGCCAAATGCAGCGACAGCTGCAGCAAAAGAACGACGATGAAGAATACTACAAACGAACACCAGCATCACCACCACACGACGACGGCGAACGAACGAACGAACGAACGACAGCAGCACCACCGCACGACGACGACGACGACGACGACCGAGAGAAGGAGCAGCCACGATGGCGACACAGTAGCATGATGCTTGTCGGAATGCGCTTATCTACTCTATAATCGAAGACTCTGTAAGGTCGCTCTATTAAAAACTACGTCACTGCAAGACGATGCATCCGCAAAGCTTTCAGGGATTTGCAAGGGGCAATCTGAGCACTTCAGCCCGAAAGCCTCTAACCGAAGACTGCGTACAGCTCGCTCGAAAACACGAGCTTTCAGCGCTCGTGCTGCAGCAGCATACGCAACAGAACGACGACGAAGAATACGGCAGACGAACACCAGCATCACCACCATACGACGACGGTGAACGAACGAACGAACGACAGCAGCACCACCGCACGACGACGACGACCGAGAGAAGGAGCAGCCACCACAGCGACACAGTAGCACGATGCTTGTCGGAATGCCGTTATCTACTACATAATCGAAGACTCTGTAAGGTCGCTCTATTAAAAACTACGTCACTGCAAGACGATGCATCCGCGAAAGCTTTCAGGGATTTGCAGGGAGCAATCTGAGCACTTCAGCCCGAAAGCCTCTAACCGAAGACTGCGTACAGCTCGCTCTATGTAAAAACTACGTCACTGCAGCCTCTAACGAAAGCCTTAGCGTGGAAAACACAAGCTTTCAGCGCTCGTGCTGCAGCAGCATGCGCTCCCCCTGGCCGCTGCTTGCATCCGACCTCTGCATCATGAGATACAGCGCGCGTGCGCGAGTAACTCATCTTCACGAGACTTCAACCCTGCTCATTTAGATCAGGGCCGGCAGTCAGAGCAGCCGCAATCATTGCCGCCGCGCAAAGCCAACTCTTGTTTGATGACAAAAGACTTCAGCTTTACAATACGCAGTGCTTCAGGCACCTCCTTCAAGGTGTACGGTGAGCGTGTGCAGCCCAAAAGAAGGCATGCCCGATAGCATGCATAGCACTGTGTGCCACTGCACCGCGACTTGCCTCCGGCTGTCACGCGCATTGCCCATTTACATGAGTGATTCCGGTGCCGGCAGATGCTACACAAGGAAACCTCCTGTCGAGGAAAATCTAAGCACAACGGGTTGCCCTGGTAACCAGGGCCGTCACGGTCTATCACTGCCTGCAATGCGTCCTGCTGCTTTGACGTCAGCTCCAATCGCACTGCAGTCTTCGCTTTCAATCGGCGGAGGCCGGACGAAACCTTGGGCGGCGTGCCCTGCTCCTCTAGGACACGGTAACAAGGTAATAGGGTATCAGGGTCTATATAACTTATTTATAGGGGTTTGTAATTGGGGCTTAGGGCTTACAGGCTCTAAGCTGCGTTGACGGTCTGGGGTCTTGAGCTCTTGGGCCCAAGCCTTTGAGGATGCAGCTTCCGGGTTTTCGGGGGTTGTCTGGGGCTTAAGGGGTTTCGGGTTTCGCGGAATGACTGTTCCTAGGTTTGGGTTTGCGGGGTTGCGGCTTGCGAAGTTTATCCGAAGCTGAAACCCAGCTCCTCCGCCACACGATTGTCCCGCTTGTCGGGAGTTGAAACCACGTCGCCCGGTGCGTGCGAGGCTCGCTTGACAGGACTGCTTTGGCACTCCTGCCCACAAAGACGAGACGCTCACATCAAAGCCGCAAACACGAAAACATTCAACAGTCTGGCAGAAAGCTCATCCAAATGCCCTTTCCTCGTCACTGCTCTTGCGCTTGGCTGGCACGCTGACCTTTGCAACTACTGGTAGCTGGGTTCCGGTGGGACAGTCAGGAGAAGGGACGACTCGGGCGAGCACAGACAGCACTGTCTCCGCACCCATGTCGAGCGGCGGTTCCTGCGAAATCACACATCTCACAACGGCATCGCAGTAACTGCCGAACCATCCCGCCTGAGGGACTTGAAGCTGGCCAACGGCGTCTGCAGCGGCCTGGCCACAACGAACAAGTAGACTCTGGCAACAAGGTGCCTTCTCCGTCCTGCCTCCTCGGTGCTTGCGGATGGTGGTCTGTGCCCGAGCTTCAGTGCCTTTTTGAGGCCGACCTCTAAACCATCCGGTGTCACAAACACACCTGGGCTCGTCCGATCCATCCACGGTTTAAGGTTTATAAAATGCAGGGTTTCGGGTTTACTGGGCTCGAAATTGCGTTCCAACAGGGTTTCTCGAGTCAGGTCGAGTAGCGGTACACTTCGCCCACTTTGGGCCCGCTGAGCTTGACCTTCGAACGTGTCTGCCACGACATGGCTTAAAGCCTTGTCCGCTGCACTGCCCAAGAGCCGAAAAGCTACAATGGGCAGCCAAAGTGTTTGGCGACGTGTAATGCTGTAAACCCTGTACAGGACAGAACTGGGCCTCTCGTGATGCACACGCTCTTCTTGATGGGTTATCGGTTATCGCTTTTGGGCAGGCGCCTTATCGTTCTGCAATATAAACTCTAACGCCCATATGCCCAGGTAGGCCCACAGACTAATCTTATGTACGGAGAGAAACGCCTGTAGCTCTGATCGATTACCTGCCAGGCTGGGATTCTGCGTTTTGCTCAGAAAAAGAGCCTCGCAACTGTTCAGCCTTGAGTCCGCCGGGCCCCAACAGGCGCACTTGCTAGTTCAGCTTACATATCCTCCCGCCGATGTGGCATGCGAAGAGTCGGGACCACAAGAAGTGAGGCCAGAGAGTCGAGGAAAGAGCAACACTGGAACCGTGGCACAGCCCTTTTTGTTTCTGTGGTGATCTAAGTAAGTTCAGAAACTTCTTTTGTACAGTCTAGCAACCTTGGAGAGGATTGCGAGTGAACGGCAACGTTTGCGAACAGGAACAACAGTTGTTTCGAGTAGAAAAGAACCGTGCAGGTACTGTCTTGTATAGGAAAAGGAGTGTCGAGGCCAGTTTGGTAAGGAACTTACCGGCACTAACTTCGAAGGCGGGGTGTTAAACATTCCACCTGCGACAGCACACCTGCAGGAACTAAAGTGCTAATGCATAGGAACAGCCAGTCACGCTCTTACGACGTGCAGGCTCGAGACCAGCGGACACAGCGACCGTAACAGGAAAAGTGACCGCTTCAGTTTGTGAGTAGGAAAGCTTAGTGAAGCCCGCTCTTTAACAAAATTCAGAAAGACCCCGATGGGATGGTTCCCATGCTCGGGTCGATGGGACGACCCGCCAAGCTTGCTTTCGGCTCCAGCTGGCCAGGAACGCCAGCAGGAAGAAGACTCTTCAAGCTGCTTTGCCTGCGACTGACACTTTTCCTTTCCTTTGAGGTCCTTGGACGCTGCTTTCCAACCAGTTTCCTTTGATCCTGAATACCAGTACCATTGTGCCTTCTCTTCGTTCCACTTCCACTGGTAGTTCCTGCCTTGGAAACCGTAGACTGCAAACCAGTTTCCTTCAAACTCTCCACGTCCTCGTCCTTTCAAGTAAGAGGCTTCGTTCACTGGTCCTTTGGCGGAAAGTGCTGGGTCGTACTTTCCTTCCTTCTTCTGCTGGTGCTGTGTTACCTTTGGTGGCTCCTTTCCTGCTTCTTTTCCTTTTCCTTTTCCTTCTGGCTTCTCTGGCTCCTTTGTTGGTGTTGTGTCTGGCTCTGTGGGCGCCTGCGACCCGGCCGCCGATCCTCTGCTTTCAAGTTCCTGCGTCAGGCTTGCAATCCTTTCCTTATCCTCCTTGCGTTCCTTCATCATGTCCTCCATCATCTGTTCCAGCTTCTTAATCCTGTCTTCTTCACGTCTCGGTTCCACCTCTCCTGATCCTGATGCTGTTCCTGCTGCTGCTGCCTTCTTCTCTGCTTCCTTCTGGGCAATGTATGCCGACGACTGCTTTTGGTCCTGTTCTCTCTTCTTCCTTGCTTCCTTCTCCTTTCTCTTCTTCTCGTGCTCCTTCCTTTCTTTCTCCTCTTTGGCTGCTGCTGCGGCTGCTGCTTCTTCCTCTTCTTTCTCCTTATCTGCTTTTGCTGCGGCTGCGGCTGTTTCTTCCTTCTCTTTCTCCTCTCGTTCTGCCTTTGCCTTGGCTGCTGCTTCCACTTCTCGCCTTCTCTCGGCGGCTGCTGCGGCTTCTGCTCTTGCTGCTTCTTTGTCTCTCCTTTCCTGCTCTTCTGCAGCTTCTTCTAAGATCTTTCTTGCTCTGGCAATCAGTTCCTCTGTTGCCTTCCTCTTCTCTTCTGCTGCTGCTTTTGCTTCTTGCTGCTCCTTTGAAATCCTGTCCTGTTCTTCCCAGTATTTGCGGTCATCTTCGTCTCGTGTGTAGCCGAAACTTCTTACCGGGAAGCTCTACTATGATATAGCTAGTGCATCTAGCCTTCTTAAGTAGCTGCCTCGGCCGGTTCCGGTGCGGATCCGGTCCCAGCTCCGGCTCACTAGCCGACTCTTCGGGTCCATCTTCGGGAGGATCGCTCGCCCCTGCTTCTTCAGGTAGCCCAGGGCTCGCCACCAATTCCACGATCCGCTCGCTAGCCCACTCGCGCCGTAGCTCTCCAGATAGCTTGTCGGCGTCGTGCTCCGTAGCCCTGCCGGTCCGTAGAAGCCAGCCACCCAGGTCGCCAGCAATCTCCCTTTCATCTAGCTGTTCTTC